TTTTTTTGTATTTTTAGTAGAGATGGGTTTTCACCATGTTGGCCAAGCTGGTCTCGAACTCCTGACCTCAGGGGATCCATCCACCTTGGCTTCCCAAAGTGCTGGAATTACAGACATAAGCCACCGTGCCCGGCCCCTGAATTTCTCTTTTTAAATAAACATTTCGCTCTGTCAGCCAGGCTGGGAGTTCGGTGGTGTGATCATATAGCTCACTACAGTATTTAACTCTTCAGCTTATTCCTTCTCCGTAGCTGGAACTGCAGGTTCACAAACTCCTGGCCTCAAGAGACTTTCCTGCCTTGGACTCCCAAAGCCCTGAGACTGTGGGCATGAACCACTGAGCCTAGCCTCAGAAACTGAATTTCAAACCAACAGTCAACCCCCAGGTCTTGCTTTTAGTGACTCTCCAGATGTCTCAATCTGTGCCATGTCTCTGTTACGTTTTTTACTAACTGGGACTGCTGCCTACATCCATGGAACCATGGTGTCATTTGTCTGAAATTAGCCATTCTAGGTGCTATTGCAGCAAGGCCCAATTTCAGCCTCTTAAGTGCCATACACAGTGCTGGCTTCCTCACAAGGTAAGGTACCTTGTACCAAGGTAAATATAATCAAAGACAAGGCAACGGCTAAGGTGACTTTATAGCTTTCTGGATCTTGTGAGGCCACAAATCTTTGGCTCAGAGTAGACAGTGGCAGCCTGGCATCCAGCCAGGAAGCAGTAGTGACTCCTAATGATGAGCACCAGACCAAAGTGCTGGTAATGAGCAGAAAAGAAGAAAAGGGAAGGGAATTCAAAGGCTGGCAGGCCTATCCTGGGCCTTGGCAAATGTTTCAGGCTGATGGACTAGGATAGGAATTCCTACACCTGCAGGGCCACACTATACCAGCTGTAAACCCAAAGCACTTCCCTAAGGTTACACCTTCAGCCAAGGAGGCAGTTATTTGTACTCAGCATTAATAAAGTTCATAGGAGGCCAGGCGCGGTGGCTCAAGCCTGTAATCCCAGCACTGTGGGAGGCCGAGGCGGGTGGATCACGAGGTCAACAGATCGAGACCATCCTGGTCAACATGGTGAAACCCCGTCTCTACTAAAAATACAAAAACATTAGCTGGGCATGGTGGCGCGTGCCTGTAATCCCAGCGACTCAGGAGGCTGGGGCAGGAGAATTGCCTGAACCCGGGAGGCGGAGGTTGCGGTGAGCCGAGATCGCGCCATTGCACTCCAGCCTGGGTAACAAGAGCGAAACTCCGTCTCAAAAAAAAAAAAAATTAAATAAATAAATAAATAAATAAAGTTCATAGGAGGCCATAAACTCATAAAAGGTTTTGGTTCCCACCCATAAGTGATTTTCATTAGATGCCTTCATCCAGAGCCCAGTCTTTCATAGCCTGGGGATCAGATTAGCAGCCCATCAGGCTGACTGCAATCCCCAGGAAATCTCTGTCCAGGGACTAGGCCTCAAGATGGGCCTGAATGAGTCTGACATTTCAAACCAGTTATCCTACATTCCTCTACCACCTCTTGCCCATCAGTGAGGATAATTATTCTGTTCTATACTGGGCACACTGGCTAGAAAGCATTCTTACTGTCTAGGAATCTAGAACCACAGTTGAGGAAAGGACTGATAACTTTCTGCATGTGATTTTACACAACCAGTGGAATCAGTGTTCTTGGTGCTTAAGGGGCACTGGAAGGGAGATGAATAGAGAAGACAGCAGGTTAACCAATTTTAATGGAACCAAGTAATTATACAATAAAATTTTATATTCATCCACAAAAAAAAGTCTTGCAACCTTTGGAAATTGTAGAAAGAAAACAGTGGGGAGCATATCCTCGTGGAGAGTCTCTAGTTGTAACTGGAGATTAGTATTTTGGTCTTTTGACTTCAACCCTGCAATGGAAGGAAAAATGGGTCAGCATAAGATCAATACACTAGGCTGGGCGTGGTGGCTCACGCCTGTAATCCCAGCACTTTGAGAGGCTGAGGTGGGTGGATCACCTGGGGTCAGAAGTTCGAGACCAGCCTAACCGACTTGGGGAAACCACATCTCTGCTAAAATTACAAGATTAGCCAGATGTGGTGGTGCATGCCTGTAATCTCTGCTACTTGGGAGGCTGAGGTAGGAGAATTGTTTGAACCCAGGAGGCGGAGGTTGCAGTGAGCTGAGATCACACCATTGCACTCCAGCCTGGGCAACAAGAGTGAAACTCCATCTCAAAAAAAAAAAAAAGATCGATACACTAAGCAATTCCCACCAGTCCCACAGAGGAAGAATAATGCCACTCACCCATCAGCTTCCATCTTCTTCCTCTTCTCAATGATCTGTAAAAAGAACAGGATGGTCTAGCACCAAGCTGCCCATCTAAGCTCACCTGAGGCCCAAGGCTGACCTCTCACTTCCATGGCTCTCCAGCCCCTTGCCTGTTCCTGAATCTGTAGGCCAATGTCTTCTCCCAGCTGAAACCCTCCCACCCAAGGGGCCATCCTACTTACTGCACTAATCTTCTTCCACTGGCGATCA